TCGAACAAGCAAACATGGAAAATAATTAATCAATCACAAAATAAGGAAAGCATATCACAAGCAATCAGTAATAGAACCGATAAAGAAGAAAAAATTGAAATTTCAAACTCTAGTTCGACGAAAATCAAAGATTGGTCGAGGATCTTGGTAAATCGAACCCATATAACCTGGTAGTGAATGTATCAAGTCAAGAACATGGCAATAATACAGAATCAGAGTCGAATGAACGCTTGTTGATGAGCTTCCATAAATAACTCAGTACCAAACGAGTAATGTCAAGAAAACGGGAAATAAACGTTGTGAGTACAGAAAAGGGAAGGAAGTATAGAAGATCTCCATATTCTCTTGGGTACAGGCTAGGATTTGGGTGAGGCGTCTAGGGTTTAGTGTGAGAGGAGAGGAGAGCGTTTAGGGGCGACTGGGCAGAGTGAAATGTGAGGATTAGGGTTGGGGTAGGTAATTAAAAATGGGAGAATGGTTGTGGATTGTTGATCATTTGAGATCAACGACCAGGATTAGAAGAGAAGCGGGGCGGATCGTTTAAACGGGTACCGACCGGGTCGTTTGGTCTGGGTTAGAGGGAATTGGGCCAAGGGTTTTAGGGTATATGTGCTGCCTATTTTGGTCCGAAATTCATTTTAAAGCTAGGCCATAATTTAAGTACACACAATTTATCAAAAGTAATTTGTAAAAAGTAATTAACACATAATAAAATATTATTCATACAGTAAAGTGTTTGAAAATAATAGCTTAACATTATAAAAATAAAAAGATGATATTTTGCACAAATGATGTGAAAAAATATAATTATGCATAACATATAGGCTATTATTGAAAAATTATGTAAATAGCCAAAATATAAATATAACGGTAAAGAATATTATGAAACCTATATGTGGATAAAAATAATAAATTTAGATGATTAAGTCATCACAAAATAATTTGAAAGAGTAATTAATATATATTCAAGTAATTTAAATGCAAGAAAATTAATTTTAAAGCTTAAAAAAATATAAAAATTATAGAAAATACTTGTATGACTCTTGTAAATTGGTGATGATGCAGGAATGATATTTTAGAAGCATATATGACATTTTTTTAAAATATGAGGGCAAAATTGGGTATCAACATCTCTCATGAATCAACTTACTTTCTCCAAGGCATCTTTCACTAAATCAGTACCATATAACCTAGCCTCGTCGGGCTCAAACCATCCGATGGACGAACGACATCGCCGACTATACAAAGCCTCAAATTGAGCCATCTCAATGTTGGACTGATAACTGTTGTTATAAGCAAACTCGGCCAAAGGCAAGAATCGATCCTACTGCCCTCCGAAGTCAATCACACATGCTCTGAGCTCTACCCGGGTACCCAACTTGCTTTGTACTGCTCTCCAGAAGTGCGAAGTGAACTAAGGGCCTCTATCTGAAATGATAGAAACAGACACACCATGAAATCGAACAATCTCTTGAATGTAAATCTGGGCCAATCACTCTGAAGAATATGTAGTCACAACTGGAATAAAGTGTGCCGACTTGTTCAACCTGTCGATAATGATCCAAACTGCATCAAACTACCTCAAAGTTCGCGGCAACCCAACTACGAAGTCCATAGTAATGTGCTCCTATTTCCACTCAGGTGTAACCATTTACTGAAGTAGGCCACCTAACCTCTGGTGCTCATACTTAACTTGTTGGAAATTTAGGTACCTCGCTACATACTCAACTATGTCCTTTTTCATCCGCCTCCACCAATAGTTGCCTCAGGTAGCGATACATCTTCGTAGCACCTAGATGAATAGAATACTGAAACTGTGTGCCTCTTCCAGAATCTTCTCCCTTAATCCATCGACATTAGGAACACATAGGCGACCCTGGAGTCGCAGAACATCATCCTTACTAATAGTAACCTCCTTGGCACCACACTGTAGTATCGTCTCCCTAAGGACCAACAAGCACGGATCGTCATACTGACGAGCCTTGATATGCTCGAATAATGAAGACTGAGTGACGACGCATGTAAGAACTCGACTGGGCTTGGAAATATCCAACCCATAAGTCTGTTAGCCAAGGACTGAATGTCCAAAGCCAATGGCTTCTCCTCTGCTGAAATGAATGCCAAACTACCCATACTCTCAGCCTTTGTACTCAAGGCATCCGCAACCATATTCGCCTTGCCTGGATGATAAATGATGGTAATATCATAGTCCTTTAGTAACTCAAGACACATGTGCTGCCTCAAATTGAGATTCCTCTACTTGAAAAAATGCTACAAGCTCCGATGATCAGTGTAAACCTCATAGGACACCCCATAAAGATAATGTCTTCAGATATTGAGAGCATGAACTATCGCGGCCAACTCCAAATCGTGTACGGGGTTATTCTTCTTGTGGGGATTCAACTGACATGAAGCATATGCAATAACTCGCCCCTACTGCATCAATAAAAAACCCAGGCTAACGCGTGAAGCGTTGCAATACACAATATACATCCCTGAACCGGAAGGCAACAATAACACCGGTGTTGTAGTCAATGCGATCTTGAGCTTCTGAAAGCTCGCCTCTCAATCTTCGGACCATCAAAACGGAGCACCCTTCTGAGTCAATCTAGTCAAAGGTGCTGCAATAGATGAGAAACTCTCCACAAACTAGAGATAATAACCTGCTAACCCCAAGAATCTCCTGATCTCGGTCGTTGTGGTAGGACGAGGCCAACTCTGAACTGCCTCGATCTTCCTGGGATCTACCTTAATACCCTCACCTGATACAACATGCCCCAAGAATGCCACATAATCTAACCAAAACTCGCACTTGGAGAACTTAACATATAACTTATGTTCCCGCAAGGTCTGGAGCACAACTCTCAAACTCGTGCTCCTCCATGCTACGCAAATAGATCAATATGTCATCAATAAAGACAATGACAAATGAGTCAATATATGACCTAAACACCCGGTTCATCAAATCCATAAATGTTTTCGGGGCATTGGTCAAGCCGAAGGACATCACTAGAAACGCATAGTGGCCATATCTAGTTCGGAAAGCCGTCTTCGGAACATCCGAATCATGAATCTTCAACTGATGATACCTATATCTCAAGTCGATCTTAGAGAATACCCTGGCACCCTGCAACTGGTCAAATAAATCATCAATATGCGACAATAGATACTTGTTCTTAATGGTAACTTTTTTCAACTGGCGGTAATCAATGCACATCCACATAGTCCCATCTTTTTTCTTCACGAACAACACCGGTGCACCCCAAGGCGACACACTCGGTCTGGATATGTGGGCCTGCTAAACTGACCCTTCACCAACTTACCTCTTACGGAGCACCACTGAACCCTCAAGAATATCAAAACCGCTTGTCCCTCGGCGTCTGCTCTCGGCCCTGCTGACGAATATCCTCGATCCTCCGAGCTATCTCCACAACTTGCTCGTAAGGAGTCCCCATCTTAACCTCTCGGGCCATAGTGACCTGGATACCATAGTGCAAACCCACAATAAAACTCCGCACTCTCTCTGCATCGGTGGGGAGTATTATAAGTACATGGCGAGATAACTCAGAGAATCTCGCCTCATAGTCGGTCACAAACATCTGACCTTGTTGGAGCCGCTCGAACTGACCCCGTAACTCTTCCCTCTGAGAGGGTGGAATATATCTCTCCAGAAAGAGATGTATGAACTGGTCCCAAGTCAAGGGAGGAGAACCTGTTGGTCTACTGAGAAGATAGGACTACCACCATCTACGGGCCTTGTCCTCCAGCTGAAAGGTGGTAAAGTCCATCCCATGGGACTCCAATATCCTCATGCTGTGCAGTCTGTCCCTGCAACAATCAATAAAGGCCTGGCAGGGACGGATCTAGCGCTATTGATACGGGTTCAATTGAACCCATAACTTTCGACAGAACCCGGGAATATACTGTGCAAATTACTAAAATATGATCATATATTAGTGTTTGAACCCATAGACTAAATGAGGCTATGGGTTTAGTGGTAAAACTGATGGGCAAAGTTCCGCTTATTGCAGGGAAGACTGGAGTTCAAATCTCTGTGTACACAATTTTTATTGCAATTTTATTTGAGTTACTATTTGACTTCTTTGTTACTTATGGGCTTTTTTTGCCCCTTCCCATTTAAAGAGGTTCGTTTCTTATCCTTAAAAGACGAGGACCCACCTAATTAATTTTATTTTTTAATGTGTACTTCATTAACTTGTGGGGCTTTTTAATAATTATAAAAAAGTTGGTCTTCACAAAGCTTTAAGAGATCAAAACCTTCCACTTTTCAGAAGGTTCATCGGTTCCCAAATTTTTAAAGCTAGGGTTTCAAAAGAATCAAAGCAAAGGCGCTTCTTCAGTTCTTCTTGGACATAAACTGCAATCAATCCTCTTCTTTAGTTTTGCTGGTATGCCTCTATTGCTCTTTCTCAATAATAATGCAATAATATTTATTAATTATAAGTTACAAGATTCGCCCCTGGTGTTCTTGGTTCTTGCATTTCGGTTCCATATAAGAAACAGGTCAAATGTTTTACTCTATTACTTCACTAATTAAAGACTTTCTTTTGGATTCATTTATTTTAACTGGTAAACTCATGTTTAGCTCACAGATAGTGAATTTTAGTGATAAACTGCTATGATTTGTTTTGTGCTTCAATATTTGAGTTTTAAGGATAAATTTAACTTTTTATATCATATTAATTACTAGTCAATCCTTTCCTAAACTAATCTTACTTTTCTTTTCTTTTCTTTTATTTTGGACGACTCTCTAAGAATTTGAAACAGAAAGTTCGTGAGTGCACATGCTATGACAGTTAAGCCTAGGTAATAACTCCATTCTTGTTGTGCTGAAGAAATTAGATATTGTATCATATTAACTCCAACTTCATAAGTACTTAAGTTGTTGAAATATCGATTTGGTTAGATTAAGTTTCAATTACACCTTGAAGTGTAATTTATTTTTTGTGATTTTTAGGATTTTTTTAGTGAGGGTGGATATGATCACGAAATATTTCAAGGCTATTCCAACTCCTCAAAGTTCTGGTTCTGGTTCTAGTCTTCCTACGCCGAGTTCTTCTCCAAGTCCAATTATTCACGACAATATCAATCCTTTGGCAGGATCAAACAAAGAGAAAATATTGAATTTGAATCTTGAACCTGATCCCGCAGAAAGAAAGTAAATTTCAGAGTATCCTCCGAATTTACCTGACCGAGTGAGGAGATATTATATTCAACAAGGACCTTGTCAACCTCGTAATTATAGTTTTCCAAAAAGAGATTTTGGTGGATTTATGAGTCAATTTAATCTTGAATGGTTTAACACTTCATACTCTGGATGGTTAGAATATAGTGTTAAAGTTGATGCAGCATTTTGCTTATGTTGTTACTTCTTTAAAAATGAGCATGGAGGACATGGAAAAGTTGGGAATTCTTTCACAAAGAGTGGTTTTAGAATTTGGAATAAAGCTACAGAAAGGCTTAACGCATATATTGGAGAGGTGAATAGTCTTCACAATCGGTGTTTTAAGATGATGAGAGATTTAATTAATCAAGAACAATCAATTCTAATCTCTTTGGACAAGCAATCCAAAAAAATTAAAAGTGATTATCGAGTTCTGTTGAATGCTTCGATTGATGTGGCAAGATTTCTTTTAAAACAAGGAATGTCTTTCCGGGGCCATGATGAAGGTGAAACTTCTACTAAAAGAGAAAACTTTGTAGAACTCTTACAATGGTATGCAGATAGGGATGATGAAGTGAAAAAAGTTGTGCTACAAAGTGCTCCACAAAATAACATGATGATTGCTCCAAATATCCAAAAAGAGATCGTGAATGCTTGTGCGAAAGAAATAATTAAAGCAATAGTTGACGATTTAAATAGAGATTACTTTGAAATTTTGGTTGATGAATCTAAGGACGTCTCTCATAAGGAACAAATGGCTCTTGTTCTGCGGTATGTCAACAAAAAGGGAAAACTTATTGAGCGATTCCTTAGTATTGTTCATGTTAAAAAAACAACTTCATCGTCATTACAAAAAGCAATCAATGATTTGTTTTTAGAGCACTCATTGAGTCCATCTCAAATACGGGGACAAGGTTATGATGGTGTAAGGAGAAATTAGTGGTCTTAAAACTTTAGTTCTGAAAGATAATCCTTCGGCATATTGTATACATTGCTTTGCCCATCAATTGCAATTGACTCTTGTAGCCGTTGCAAAAAAATATTATGATGTAGATCATTTTTTTGATATTGTTGCTAATGTCTTTAATATTATTGGAAGTTCTTTTAAGCGTAGGGATATGCTACGAGAGGATCAGGCAAAACAACTAGAGGAGCTACAAGTGCTTGGTGAAGTTCATACAGGAAGTGGACTAAATCAAGAACTTGGACTCCAAAGGCCAGGTGATACCCGATGGGGTTCTCATTTTAAGACAGTGTGTAACTTTATTGCATTATTCTCGTCAATCATTAATGTACTTGAGTTTCTTGCAAGTGAGGGTGCAAATTATCTCGAGAGATCAGTGACAAAAAGTCTAGTGAATGACATAAGATCTTTTGAGTTTGTGCATATGATGCATTTGATGTTAAAATTATTAGCAATCATAAATGAGTTGAATATAGCTTTGCAAAGAAAAGATCAGGATATTGTAAATGCTATGAAGCTTGTTGGTTTCGCCAAGAGGCAATTGCAAGTGATGAGAGAATTTAAATGGGAATCTTTGATAGATAACGCCTCTTCATTTTGTTCCAAGCATGATATTGTGATCCCTGAAATGGATAAGAACTATCATCTTGGAAAGTCAAAGCGTAGGAGTTCAAGTGTTACATATTCTCATCATTTGCATGTCGAAATTTTTAATACTGTTATTGATTTGTAACTTTCGGAGCTTAACAGTCATTTTGATGCAGTGAATAGTAATCTACTTCTTGGTATAGCTAGTTTGAGTCCGGATAATTCTTTTGCAAATTATGATAAAGACAGAATTATGAAACTTGCTACACTTTATCCTCATGAGTTTAGTGGTTCAAAACTTGAAGATCTCAGTTACGAGCTTGATAACTATATTCTCTTTGTGAAAGAAGACAATGATTTCTCTAACTTGTGAAAGACTATATTCTCTTTGTGAAAGAAGACAATGATTTCTCTAACTTGAAAGGACTTAGAGATCTTTCAGAAACACTAGTTGAAATAGATTTGTACAAGACTTGGAGACTTGTGTTTTTGCTTGTGAAGTTAAGTCTGATATTGCATGTCGCTACTGCAACGGTAGAAAGAGCTTTTTCTTCAATAAAGTACATCAAAAATGACTTGCGTAGCAGAATTGGTGATGAATTTTTGAATGACTGTTTAGTTTATTATATAGAAGATGAAGTATTTGAAAGTGTACCTAATGATGCGATTATTGATCGTTTTTAAAACATGACAACCTGTCGGGTACAATTGTAATGGTGATATTTATTGAATATATATTATGTTAGATGGTTCGATACTTGTTACATATATATTAAATATCATTGTTCGTATTTCATTCAGTTATTATTGTATAGTACCTTGAGGTATATCCTAGAGTCTAAATCTTGAACCCATAAAGTTAAATTTCTGGATCCGCCTCTGAGTCCTGAAGGTCCTCATGTCGCTCACCTCTAAAGGTAGGAGGATGTAGCCTAGTCCATCTATCTAATAGCTTCTATGGCTCGCCGGCCGTGGCTGGTCTGGGCTCTGGTATAGCCGCTACAATTGGCTGAGCTTCGCCTATGGGTAGTGTACCCGGGATTTGATATATGACAGATGGATGTCCTGGAGCATGAGGGGTCGGGGTCTATGCTCCCCCTTTCGCTTGAGATGTGTCTAGGTCTGCTGGAAATAAACCAGCCTGCGTCATAGAATCCATGAACCGCAACATATGGCCCATGACCTCCTGGAATCCTGATGCGGACATGAAATCCGTTGGGGTCGGCTCCGCTGAAGGCACCTTGCCATGCTCCTCAATAATAGGTGTCAGACCCCGAACCTGGGCCAGGATGTAACACGGCACTCGGTGCCTGACTACATGCGACCGAGCGAACTAATTGGCTGGCTGAATCAACATGTGATATCATAACATACTGAATGCAGAAGATAAACTAACACATATTGATATACTTAAGATCTGGATGATATAAATCAAACTGTGGAAATACTAATACAATTCTGAAACATATTTGTAGCCAACATAGCTTAATATGAAAAGCATGCGACTTTGTCCAACTATTACTCTAGTCTATAAAGCTCCTAATAAAGTACTGAAAACACTGACTGTCTAAAAATACTAAAAGACTCTAAAGTAATGATAATGCCCCAAAAGAACTAAGGCTCACCAAATGGCTGGTACGAGAATCCTAGTGCTCTGAATCATCAACTACCTGTAAATCATTGCATGTATCGTGAGATGTAGGCCCCGGGCAAAAGGGACGCCAGTACATTTGAATTGCACTGGTATATAAAGCAACTGAAAGAAAAAACTATAAATGTTGAAATTGAAATTGAGCTGATAATAGAGAACAGATAACTAACTAGAATGATAACTACTGAAACTGAAATTAAGTTGATAATAGAGAACAAATAACTAACTAAAATTATAACTGCTGAAACTGAAACTTCATTGATAACTGATAACTGAAATGATAATTGATAACTCATAACTGAAAAAAGGAAGTAAGAATATGAATACTCCCTCTTCTGAATGATGAACAACCTGTTTATCTGATAAATTACGGCCTCAGGAACAATATATATGTGCACAAGCTACGGCCTCGGGCCCAAGTATATGAATAAATAACTACGACCTCACGCCTAAAGATGCATAAAGCATAAATTACGACCTCGGGCCCAAATATGCATAAAGCATGAACTACGGCCTTAGGCCCAAATACAGGTGTTCAACATTCAGGATTTAAAATAAGGAACTGAGAATCATACTGTAATATATGATACTAAAATACCAAACTCTACTGGGTTACATGATACTGAAATGCTGAATATAACTCGACTGGAATATGTATTCATAATAAAATGATCTGTCATAACTCAGACTCATGGGATATTGAATGAATTATGAAACCATATCATCTAGAGAATAGAAGTTCTACAACTATTCATGGAACTGAGGCATAATTACTTTCTGAGGAAATATGTAATAGTCATAAGAATGAGAAGTAAGGAGAACCATAAACATTCCCAAACGTAGAGAGTTAGCCTTACATACCTTAACTTCTTGCTCTTGAGCGTAATACAATGGTTGTCAACCCTTTCAACTTTAATCTATATCAATACAAGTCAAAGGGATTTCATATTAGCAATAATACTCATGTTTGGTCACTTAAGCATTTTATCTAGGGGTAGACATTTGGTACTTCGGTTCGGTATGTAAGAACTTCGATTTGGTATTTCGATATTCGGTTTATCAATTGTATATGCAAAATACCGTACCATAATTAGTTCGGTACGGTTCGGTATTTCATGTTCGATTCGGTATGGTTTCGATACGGTTTGGTATTTCTTATTCGGTTCGGAGTTATGCATACAAGAATATGGACAATATGACAATATGGTCGTAGCTGATTGCGATGATGGGGATAATCGTGAAGCGATAGTTTAGTTTATGTAAATATTTCTCAAGTTTTATTTTAGTACTTTACTAAAATACAGTAATATCAATGTATTTTGATAAACTAAAAGAAAATGAAATTTCTTCATTTTCTTGTTCAATCCCAGCCACTTCAATTGCTTTCCTCTATAGAAAAAGGATGAGATATTAACAATTAAGTGTGCCATTGTCAAATATCAAGCCTAGTGATTTTTACAGTTCGGTTATATGAAGTAATGCCACTTAAGACTCTAAACTGAAGCAATACATTAATGCCCACATAACTCTGGTGAAGCACATACAAAACAGAGGCTCAAACTCAAACAAATAAAGATTTCTACATCTGTTAAACAATAATATTCCTTAAACAAAAACAAAATAGTTACTCTAACCTATAAATAAATATAAGGACTTAAACCAAAGAATATAAAAATAATAAGTCTTTTAGTGGTGACTTACTTTTAAAGCATTTTCAGTAGTAAAGCACATACAAAATAATGGTGAGTGGTGAGCAATCAAAGCAGCAATTATAAGTCTTAAACAGTTAAACCTTGTCATTGGGCACTACTAAAGCAGCATTCATATGTCTTTAAATCAAAGCACATAAAACATAAATTAGGCTATAAGTCTTAAGAGGTTATTTGGGTACAAATATGAGACTTAGAGTTTGAGTTATGGGTTGGACTCAAATTAAAATTAGGCTATTTAATATGCATACTAAAAAAGTTTGGTATTTCGGTATACCAAAATTTTGATACCCTAATACCGAAGACCGAATCGAAGAACCGAAATACCGATATTTTAATACCGAAGGCCGTACCGAAAACCAAAGAACCGAAACTGAAGAACCGAAGTAGTTCGGTTCGGTCCAGTTTCTCCGTTTCTCGATTTTTATGCCCACCCTTAATTTTATCAAAACTTGGTGGGTATAAAGCTTCATAATCCTTATTAATGGTGTTTCTAAACCCCATAACCCATTCTCTTGCTCCTAGATAAATTCTAAAATCTCAAATGGTTATAATCAACATAATTCTTCATCACCCATAAGATAAATAACACCTTTAACCAATAATCAATAATCAACAACTCAAACCTATAATCGTTCATGCTTTTCTGTCAAACCCATCAACTCATCTCCTATGAAATACAGTCTATAGTTATTAATCCAATATTATAATCAAGTAGAGGGTGAAAATATTACTTTTTTGATGTTCAATCCTCTTAAATTCGAGTCCTAGAGTTTCTTTTCTCAACAATGATGTCCCAATCCAATATCTAATAATTTGAAGGGTTTATACATGTTAATAAGGTGTTGAAGAATTGAAATTAACTTAGAGTCACCATTAGAACTCACTTTGGATGGTGAAGGGACCTTAGGGGAGGTTAGGTTCTTGAGAGCTCCCCTTTCTAGAGTAAGTTTTTGTATTTTGGGGTATGAGGGACGAAGTAGGGCTTTAAAAATGACCCCCCAGATGCGCTCCCGCGCACCTAACGTGCATAAAGGCAGTATCACTGCCATAAGTGTGCGGATGTGCACGGGACCATCCGGGCGTACACCTAGGCGCGCATACTACACATTGTACAGTAAAACGTACATAACGTTTTACTCAGAAATTCGTTTGGTCTCCACAATATATCATTGGCAAGCTATTTCAAAGGGATACAACTTTCATGCTTTAGGGTTTCCAAAATTCCAAACGTATTATCACGAAATCCTTCTAGAATACAGACCTACTATAAACTTAGTCGATTTTATTGAATCTTATGTACCTTACTCTCCGTCTTGATTTCAAAACAACTCTTTTGACCCATACTCATCCCGATAAGACATCATATGTCTAAGATGTCACATTAATACTCATTTAACATGTCCTTACCTAGTCTGAATTTACGGAGTGTTATAACAAGATCCTCCACTGGATCCACTGGTGGCGCAACTGGGGCAACTCTAGGACGCCCGCGTCCTCTAGCACAAGTTGGAGCCCTCCCTCGGTCTCTGCCTCGGCCTCTAGAAAGAAGGGGAATAACTCCTCCACAATCGAGTATATCTGCCACGCGCGTTTTCACCATCTGTGAGAGAATAAGAGAAATATACTTAGCATAACATCAATTGCACGATAGGAGATGAAGAAAGAGTAGTTTCCTAACATCCTATAGCCTCTCGAAGTTAAGTACGGACGTCTCCACACCGATCCGCAAGACTCTATTGGGACTGCTCATGACTTCTAAGACCTACGTGAACCTAGTGCTCTGATACCAAGTTGTCACGATCCAATTTTTCCAATAGGCCGTGATGGCGCCCAACGTCGCCGCTAGGCAAGCCAACAGTGAACTAGTCATGTATTTGTTTCTTTTTAATAATTTTAAAGTAGTTGATTTTTATTTATTAAGTAAATGAATAGCGAGAAATTATAGTAAGGTAAAGCATAAACTAATGAGAGAGTAAATACAGTGAAATAAATACTCAAACCATAAAGTTT